TACTCACATCCTAATAATTTATATATAATTTATTAGTGAAGTTTTGTTTAATTTTGAGTTTCTTAATCTATAAGTTATTTCATACTCACAGTCTGATAAGTAAATTTATATATAATTTATTAGTGACATTTTAAAGTTTTTAATTTACAGTATAAATTAATTTTATACTCACTCTCTAATAATATATGTATATAGTTAGAGAAGTATCGTTTGTAATTCGTTCATATATAATTAAATATCCTTATTTATCACAAGATAGCATGAAACTATACTTTTCTAACGGACATGGTAAAGGCAGGATTGATGATACTGATAAAAGCCAAAACAGCAAGAATAAATTTTAAATAAAATTTTGACAACATTTTGAGAAGATTGTTATTATTATTATTATTTTATTTTTTTCAAGAAAAAAATGAATAGAATGCACATAAAGAGGAAAATACCAACAATTTATAATTTCTCAGATATGGCTAATGTTGTACTTATTTACATGATGAATATAATAATGACTATAGAACTTGTCGCATTATTTATCGTAAACACTGTAAATGTATTGCACTGATTATTGGATTTGTCGTAATTTCGTATTGTCAAGATAACTGTCAATGCTGTAAAATAAAAGATTAATACTTATTGAAAGAAGGGGCGCAATGAAAGTGTTGGGAAGAGGCACAATGAAAATATTGAAAAGGTATAAACATTGGTGAGGGCGCAATGAAAATATTGGGAGGACGACTGTCTCTCATGCTGTAAAATAAAAGATAAAGAGCACGATAAAAAATATTAGAAATAAACATTACATACCAGAAACGGTGTGTATTGGATATTTTTTTATATGCATCATATGATTACTTATTTCTATATTTATTATAGATGTGAGCTTATCGTTATTGCACTACAAACTACTATAGATAAATAATTAGAAATTGAGTATCGGTATGGGGCTTTACCGTCTATATTCAACTTGATTTGCATATGGGGCTTCTCTACCTATGTGTAGCAGGCTATATCTTGATTTTCTCTAATTTGTACAAGCAAACGTATTACAGTACGAATGCTGATTTATTATACATGGGTTTGGGTCAAAATCCCGACAGGTCACGATCCCGACAAAAAAATTCCGACAATTAATAAACTCTGATAAAAAATATCATTTACCGTAGCAAATCCTATCTTAACCCTTATCTAAAGTGACCTAACCCTAAAATTAATTAAATTATAAGAGTATATTTCTCTTTAAACATATCTCATAATTGGGATTTTCTATCTAAAAATTCTGGCCGTCGGGGATTTTTAATTTTCGACTGTCTGAATTTTTTTGTCGGGATTATGACCTGTCGCGATTCTGTTTGTCGGGATTTTGACCCGCACCCATTATACATACATATATACTATATTAGTGCTGCCAAGAAAAACCTGCCATCGGGCTTTCAATTATATTTTTTGTTCAGTTTGTTCCCAGAACTTTATCTTTGGAAAATCTATTATCAGGTTTAATCAATTATATTTGTACAAATATAATTAAAAGCCAGATAATAGATTTTCTCTAGATGGCACTCTGAAAACAAACTGAACACAAAATATAATTGAAAGCCCGATAACAGGTTTTCCCTTGGCAGCACTCATATATATACAGTATATATATATATATTATTATAAATATGTAACGGCAATATAATTCTCATACATTCAAACGATTCTAATTGTTTATTTCATACTGTAATCATTTTTGTAATCGTAATTCAGAGTATTGCAATCTGAGTCCTTGAATGTCATGACCAGAATTTAGCAATATCAGATATTGATAAACTATTATATGCAATTTGAACAAATTCTCGAATATACTGCGACTGGTAAACGGCGAGTCTGTCGCTTCTACTAATCAGACGTCGCGTAACGTTGTATTTCGGGTTACAAGGCTTCAAGGCGTGGACTTGATTTGGGCGAGTATTTTATTTATTACTTTATTTATTGTACCTGAATTTCTTTATTTAATAACACTTAACCAACTACACTATAAATTATCAACTATCACTACTAAGGGATTTCGACCCTCTTCCCACTACTTGGGGGCGCAAAAAGATGAGTACCTTTATTAAATTTTTATTTGCATTTATACAATTTTACTTGTACTAATAAATTCTATTTATTTTTAGGTTATACTTCTATTTTTCCCACCATTCCGCCTCCCTACAATCGTACCATCGCGAGTTTCACTTGATCGGGTAAGTACTTTACTATGTTTGTGTTCTTTTATTTTATTTTTAATGCAATTGTACTGACCCGTCCCTCTATTATTTTGCATTTCGTCACTTTGAAACATCGCCGTCACGGTGTAATGCCTTCCCCGATTTGGGCACAACCGCCTTGTCTTGTGTTCCTTGGCGTGGGGGCCCGATTATGCGTGTTTCTTTGTTTCTGGGGTCGACAATGTATGCACGATCCGTGGGTCCCGATCGTCGTTCGGGCTACGTATCGTTACGCACGAATCGTTACGTTTTTCTGGCCCGTGACAATACCGTAACTATACTTGAATTTGCAACGTTACCATTTCAAAGCATTAACCAATTATATTTTATAAAAAGGCACATTTGCACAAACGGCTGTATATATAATAAAAAAAGTATAATACGGGGACAACAGGTGACACCAAATTGAATGTGTGCAGGCTTATGGCGCAGATTTCCTAAACTACAAATCAGATTTCAAGATCAGGTGGAGACCGTTAATGTTACGCATTGTCAGAGGTAAAGCCGAAGCCCCAAAGAACCTGCGAAGTGATCGTCATTGTGGCATACTTACCTAACTGGTGGTGCCCATGACGATACAGTTGAAACATGTGCGCCCGGCCCCCAAAAAGCCGTATGACAGTACACAAGCCTCCATGCGGGACCCACCACCCCCTCCAATTAAAGAAAGGTCGACCTGGACCAACCTGTTCGCATTGGGAATAGACGTTGACTCCACCTACCCTACTTGGGTTAGGTGTGAGGCGATGTCAAGGGGGGTGCGATTGTAGACAATATGATGGGTTCTAGCCCCGGGATAGTAAAACTGAAACATTTCTCATCGGTTCTATGAAGAACGTGAGAAATGTTAAAGTAACGAAAGGCTGTATGAAAGGAGTTAAAGGTTAGAACAAAAAAGGTTGGAAAACGATGGGAACAATGAGAAGAGTCGTGGTCTTGTGCGTACTCTTCTCGCGGTCAATCCATTATAAAAAGGGTGGAGTTTCCCCTTCCAAAAGGTAGTTCAGTCCAGTCGAGTGCCGTATAGTTCAGTAAAGCCCATAGTTGTATTGCCTTACAAATTAATAAAAATTATTATTAACAAAGCCCCTTGAACCGCCAATACAATAACGCTCTTTAAAAAAAAATCGTTGCACTTATCTTGTAACGCTCCTTAAAAGATCGCCTCGACCTTGTGCCAAATCGTAAAACCGTCTCTATTATCTTTGAGGAGCATTACGCGGCATAATCGGTTTTCAAGCGACAATCCGTCGCATTTGCCCCATCTCTGAACCCGACCATTTAACCCGTCAAAGCATATATTAAAACTGGTGAGTGATTATATCCAACATAAAAATTTAATTTATGATTGATCACGGGAGAGAAGGATTCATTTGGATCGGGCACTGTCTCTGCTGTAAACACGATCAAACAATCTTCATTTTGTATAAATTACTTATTTCTCAAAAATCAGCGAAAGCACCTAACCATATGCTCTAAAAGAAGTTTTGTGTTGGGCAATTTTACTGTATAAACTGCTCTCTTCTAATTCCTAAACTTGGCCCTAACCTTAGCATAAACAAATTTTGCAAAATTCTTTAAAATTCGGAAAATTTTTTATCGGGTAAAATTTTGACAATATAAATAACTTTGACAAAACGAACGTTTACTTTGAGTCTTTCTGTTCATGTCATGTTATATATGATACTAAAAAATTTATATGTTCTTCGGAGATCGGCACCACCATGCAGCACATGCTCAATAGTGCACAACCTATATATTTACTAAATGCAAAATGCCAATACTCCTCATGTCTCCTGTTCCTGGTTTCGCGTGAAAACGTCGTGCAGCTATCTTATTTTACAATCTTACATTTTATGTAATTTTGCGTAAGTTTCAGTAACATTGATTTCATGTAAATTTCACACTCGATATAAAGTACCAGCATTAAGAAAAACTTGGCTAGCATTATTGAGCTACAATAGTCTTTACATAAAGTTTACTTATCACTAGGAACCGGAACCGGAAACCAGTATAAGTCTGGAGCTCACCCCAGCCCCTGAAAAGACTTGTTATGTATGTCATAAATAAAAATTTTCAGAGCGAAAATACCAAACCTATGTTTTTGAGATTTTTACTATAAATGTATCAAAAACGTACTGTTGGTCATCAAAGGGCGTAGAAGTATGTTACTTCGCTCCAGACAATCATATGAAATAATATGATAATATCAATGCATTTCTTACAAATTACATGAAAACTATTTACCAAAACTTACACAAGATTAGGCTAATTTTACGATCTTAATTAAGGAGCACAATGATGAAAAGGTGCATTAGAGATTTGGCACAGATAAGATTAGGAAGAGGTAAAATAAAAACATTGGTGGAGGTGCAATGAAAAAATTGGAAAGAGGACTGTCTCTCATGCTGTAAAATAAAAGATTAAGACTTATTGAAAGAGCACAATAAAACGATTAGCAGTGGTACAATATAATATGTAGAGATGTTATTAGCTTTACTCGAAGCAAGCTTTAGCTACAATTTGAAGCTAAGCTAAAATCATGCCAAGCCAAACAAATAGCCTAAAGCTATAGTTTAAGCCAAAATTAAAAATTATTTAGAGTTAATTATAAAAAAACAATGATTAGATTTAGTTTTAATTGTTTGGCTATGGCTTCTTAAAGCTTAGCTAAGCTATCCAAGCCAATAACATTCCCAAAAATATTAGGAAGAAGCGAAATAAAATATTAGTGAGGAGAGACGCAGTGAAATGTTGGAAGAGAATATTGCAAAGGTGTGAGCGATTGGGTGCAATAAAAGATTAGGAAGAGGCGAAATGTTAACATTGATGAGAGAGCGCAATGAAAATATTGGAAAAGGCGCATAAGAGATTGGACACAATAAAAGACTAGGAAAAGGCGAAATGTTAACATTGATGAGAGAGCGCAATGAAAATATTGGAAAGGCGCATAAGAGATTGGACACAATAAAAGACTAGGAAAAGGCGAAATGAAAAGATTATTGTGGAAGCACAACGAAAATACTAGAAAATTTTTATGAGAGATTTGGCACAATAAAAAAATTGATGAGAAGCGTAATGAAAATACAGTCGACTCTCTAAATTTTAAATTCTGACCGAGTATATAAATACAATTGATCTCGAAATGCACTTGGTGAGATCTAATGTATGAACCTACACTGTTAAAATTATGAATTCCTAGTTATTGAGAGCAATTCTTGAATTGCAAGGTTTGTGACGCAGACAAAATTTATTAATATTGTTTATGTCAGGGTTAGCGTCTGTATTGAGGTTAGATAATAGTAAAATGTGTTGTAAAATAAAAATCACGTAAGAAAAACTTCTTGTTAAAAACTAAAGTGGTTTCGTATGCATGTTTTCGAGAAATAACTGATGTTTGTAAAACGAAATTTTTGAATTTTCTTTATCGTGCTATGTTAACAATAATTGGTGCTTCCAATAGTAGCGTTCTATCAGAATAAATAACTAATCAATCAGATAAGAATTCTTCATTCACTTTTTTTCTGATTCCTCAATTTTTCTAACACACTAAATATGTATTAATAATTTATTTTATTATTATTATTATTTTTTTAATGTTAAAGGTGAGTACTTGTGACTCAGGCTTTTATTGATAATATGTTTCAGCTTTGTGATTATATTACAACATTCATAGGGGGCAACTATGAGAAGAGTGTACAACTAGTCATTTGTACAACTTTAGTTAGGATTTACTTATTTCTGCAAGTGATACAAGCCCAAAAAAGGAAATGATTGTCATTTCGCTAAAAGTACGCGAGATTTGACCAGCGTTAGGGCTAGGGTTAAGGGTTGTATTAGAAAGGTCATATAGTAAAATCCGGCCAGTAATTTTTTTTATTAGAACGTAAAATGTGATTTTCTAGGCAAAATTTTGAGTTACCGGCGATGTTTTGAAAATCCTTTGATCTCACGTTACACGGCGATTGCACCTGACCTTGCGATCTACATAGAAAAATTTCCTTTTTGGGCTTGTATTACTTGCAGAAATAAGTATACGCCTTTAGTTATTGTCTAATTTAAGTAGTCTGCTCGAAGGTTCTACATTAGTTGTCATACCTAGAACCTGCTTATGAGTCTTCTATTTAAACACTCTGGTTCTCATATTCACATCTATCTATCTTACCAACTACTTTAGTTTTCACTAATGCAAATATACCATAATCATTGGTTTTTAAAACAGTTCATTCATATGAGAAACTTTTAACTTTATATTAAACCTACTGAAGTTTTTTATTATTCAATTTTTAGTTAATATGGTATTGTTATGATTAAGAGTAACTCTTGTAATCAAAGTAACCTCTTAAACTATTATACTTTTGTAGAGTTTATACAATTTCAGTATTTTTTTTACAATCTCATTAATACTTTGCATACTCTTGCAAATCTTTCTATATTATCAATCCAGTTAGTTTTATATAATAAGATTTCATATCTGGTTCAACCAGTAGACAAGTTGGTAGACTTTTTTACCTAAGGTTTTTTTCTATACAAAACACTTACTTTAGGTTTTTTTCTATACAAAACACTTACTTTAGGTTTTTTTCTTCAAATCAAGATTTTCATAAGTAGTATTATCAAAGATCATACTACTTTTTTACTCAGAATTTTAAAACAAGGCTTCTTATAGAGTGTATATTTTCTGAATTTATTCATGTGACATTGCATACTCTTAAAGTTAATCTTAGTACAACTAGAATTACAGAGTTACAATCTCAGATACCTCAATCAAGTTGCTAAAATAAGATCATTTTTCAAAATTCTATCACCAGTGAGATTTAAACTTTGAACCTACTGTTTGGAGAATGACAACCCAACCACTACACTAGAATCACTATTCTCATGTACTAATAATTTAATTTTTATACAGCCAATCTTTTCTATTGCCTTAAATTACTGCTACTGAAAGCCTAATATTTTTTTCAGTTTCACTGAATTTTAAGATTATTTTCTGATGCTCAAATCATTAAGTGTAACCATTTTTCTTGAATTGGTTATTTCTTATTAATTTATTATTAAATTAGTTTACAGATAAAACAGAGAAATCTTTTTATGTCATAATGTTTTCAATGTAGCTTATATAGATTCCATTAGCGATTCTGAACTTGTACAGATTTTTGCACCTTTAATAAGATTATAGGGCATGAATGAACCTTTTTTATAAGATTTGAACATGCAATAATTCAAAATAGAAACTATCATGTTGTTTATACAGTTAGGCTCTAAATGCACTGTATTCAGAGAAGTATTGCTGTTATGTTAAATTAGTTAAGTATAAATGATGATGTGCATTTAGAAAGGCTTTCATAGAGATTGTATTTAGAGTGGTCTAATTGAACTTCTTCAGTAGGTATGTTTGCACATGCAAAAATGCATAATTAGGTTGGAACCTTTTAGATTACTAATACTTTTTTTTTTTATGAGTATAATTTTCATGATTTGAATGCACATTATCTGAACATGAAAAATGTTTAGATAGTAACTTTTTTTTCAATTAGCATTATTTTCACAATTTGGATCTGGAAATTTTCATCTTTTTTTTTAGTAGGTATAATGTTCATAATTTGGCATTTCATAATTTAGACAAAGAAAAGTTTCATGTTAATATTTTTTCAGAATTATTGCCATGATTTGGATGAGCACTATTGGATATGAGAACATTTAAAATGGTTGACTTTTTTTTTTTTTTTTTTTAGCAGGTATAATATTTTATATTTTGAACATGGCTTGTCATTCGAAGTTGAAAATAACAAAATTTATCGATTTATAATAACATTTCATTACAGAAAAACCTTCCTAAATATGCTCTTCCTAAATGCATTTCTTTAAACACAATCTTCATAAATGTAAAAATCTCTCTAAGTACATACTATAGTCTTGTCCTAGCTTATAACGGCACTATATATGATAAGTTCTATGATCTGATAATATTTTAACAGCCTGATTGAGTTTATATAGCTGCTTATAATCATCTTTTGGTACTATCATAGAGAATATACAGTATTTTCATCATCGTGTAGAATTGGAGAAATTTTAACCTTCACAGAGTCTAGAAAATAGCCAAAACCTAATTCATAAAGTGATTTCCAATTTTCACTTAGCATACACCCTGTTTTACAATCATGTACATTAGCGCAAAACTCTAAAATGTTTGAGTATGATTTATTGTTAGCAGTGGTAACTTTTGGCAAAATATTTACAGTAATGCAAAAATTCTAACGATTTTAATTGGATTTTTTTTATCAACAGCTGTAGCAGTAGATGTAATAGTGATACCTTCATCATCATTTTTATCACTACCACCATTTTCATTATCACTACTATTTTCATCATCATCATCATTACCATCATCATCATCATCATCATCATTATCCTCTCCACTGTTTTCACCATTGTTAACTCTGCCATTTTCTTTTCATTACCACCATTTTCATTACTGAAGAATGAAGACAAATCAGTTGGTCCATTACTATTAAACTCTCCGTCATGAACACTATCACCACCATTTACATCTGTATTAATAAAGACTACTTTGTTGACTACTTCAAACTCATCCTGAAATAAATTTGAAAGTTATTTTATGATCTTGTTATTTAGACATTCGAAACTTCTGCAAGTAATGCAAGGCATTGAATAATCTTGCTGAAAATCCAGACCTACGGCAATACTTGCACTAGGTCTAGTATGTGATTAATGGCATCTTTTTTATTTTTGAGTAATGAGAGTAATCGTTCAACCTTGATGTATATAGTGGCTGATATTCCAGGAGAGATAGTTGAATGTATTGAAATAAACTCTGATGTAGTGTCACCAAAAAACCTGACTGTTACCATTTTCAATGATGGGTGTGAGTGCAAGAAACTGAATGTCATTAAGAATATCATTGTCAGCAGTGTTATGTTAATTCTTTTCAACTTCAATTCCATTTTTATAGTAAAATCCAAGTTTGTTTATTTCTTTAGAATCATCAATTTTAGCAGATTTTTGATTATAAATAAATGCCTTATGTTTATTCATTTCAACTTCAACTCCATCTTTGTAATAGTTGCCAAGTGCAAATATTCCATCGGTGTCTCCCATCCCTGCAGTTTATTGATCATAAATCATAAATTCATATGCAACATTTTGATCATAAACCATAATTTCATCTGCATTATCAAATCCTTCTTACAAAATAATTCTTGCTTTATTTATGGGATCTGTACTGTATGAACGAGAAAAGTCACTTCTAAAAAGGGTAAAGCTCTGGTCATCTGTCTTATCTTTAATATTTGCCACTATCACATTCTGTTCCTGGCAAAATCATTATCCAGATCTTCCTTACTGGTTAATAAAAATATTATACAAAGTTTATAATGAATATTCATGTACATGTCCAGAATAACTTGTATGTAATTTGTGTAGGATTGATAAAGGAAGTTTTTGAGAAAGTTTATTGTTTATAATTTGCAATGGATCCGTACGAACTGTGCAGCAATTTTGCACACTTTTGAGCGAAGATCCACTCTATGATTAGTGTTACGGCCTAAACCCTTTACCGAAGTCCGAAATGTTTCGGCTTTTGAGTTTCGGTTTCGCCCAAATCCGAAACTAGGCGAAATGTCTGAAACTGGGCGAAATGTCCGAAACTGGGTGAAACTTTTGAAACTGGGCGAAACGTCCGAAACTGGGTGAAACCTCCGAAACTAGGCAAAACGTCTGAAATGTCCGAAACTGTGTGAAACTAGGTGAAACTTGATCAAAATTAACATATTAAGTGATGCAAACTTCTATGCAACGATTTTTTAAAAGTCACGTAACCGTTGCATTTAAAATCGACCAATGGAATTTCTAAAAATCCCATTGGTCAATATTAGGTGCAGCAGTCATGTGACTTTTGGAAATTTCATTGGTCAATTTTATGTGTAACGGTAACATGACATTTAGAAATTCCATTGGTCAAATTTAAGTGCAGAGGTCACGTGACTTTTAAAATTGTCATATTGATGTCTGAGTCACGTGATATGTTAATTTTGATAGAGATAAGATCATGTTTCGCCTAGTTTCGCCCAGTTCCACCCAGTTTCAGATGTTTCGGACATTTCGCCTAGTTTCGGAGGTTTCGCCCAGTTTCAGAGGTTTCACACAGTTTCAGAAGTTTCACCCAGTTTCAGACATTTCGCCCAGTTTCGGACGTTTCGCCCAGTTTTGGACTTGGCACCTTGGGCAAAACTAGATTTCAGAGGTTTCGGAAGTTTCGCCTAGCTGAAAGTTTCGGTTTAGGCCGTTACACTATCTATGATATCTGCAATTGTTAGGCAAAACCTAGAGGTTTCACTGATAAAATGCAAAAACTAGTTTTAACTTTCAGCAAAAAAAATCAAAAAGACGAAATAGCGAAACTGGCGAAACTAGCAAATCCTGACAAAACTGGTGAAAACATAGCACAACAAAATTGTTCCGTCAGATTCTTGATTTATTGGCTAAGAGCGACGATAAAAAAAATTCAGCTTAAATTACTCAAAATTTGACTAATGAAATCACAACTGCTCATTAAATGAAAATTGTTCCTGAACTAATTTTACCATTTTGTGGTTGAAAATTTTTATTTTGCAAATAAAAAAAAAGTTAAAAGCCTAATTCCATGCACATTAGCCAATCAAAATCAAGGATCTGATGGCCTCTGCAGATCTTTTTCAATTGTGATCCTGGTAGAGTTTTTGTCACCCTCTAACGATCTTGCGATTGAGACCTGGGAGCGCTAAACACTGAACTATCGACCCACGGGTCTACAGTAAATATTTAAACTAACAAACTATGAATTTTTGTTCAAAGCAAAAAAAACATCAAATATTTAGTATTTTTATTATGCAAAATAATGATTTTCTTATTATGTGTTAATATTTTGTAAGTAAACTTATTTAATACCAATAGACAATCTTGTAAAAAAAAAAAAGTTCAAAGTTACATTTTCCAATAAGTTAAAATATAAATAAAAAAAACTTAAAGCACAATAATTATATTGTATTTTAAAATTTTTAATGCTATAAAAGTTTTATGTGGATTCTATTTTCGTGAAGATAATTTGGTAATTAGTCATGGAATTTTAGCAATAGTTCAGTATTTAACAGTAACAAACGAATGCCATGATTATTATTATTATTTGTGTCGACGTCTTAAGGTGGCATGAATTGTTTCGTTTATCTTAACTTACAGTAGAGACAGTGCCCGATCCAAAGTGAATCCCTCTCGCCTGTGATCAATCACAAATTAAATTATTTATGTTGGATTCAATTGTGATGGATATAATCCCTCACCAGTTTCAATATACGTGTAACATTAACGGTCTCTGCTGTAATCTTAACTATACTGAAGTTTAAAATGGATTGCGATGGTGAGCAAATGGGTTAGACGCAATGTTATTATAGATCAGAGTGCCAATGATTTTTTGGAAGGGTTAATATTAGAAAACCAATAATAGATATGACCCCAAAACTTAAATTTGGGGTCCAAAAATTAGCCAAATTTGTCAAATGCCCGTAATGAATACATCATTTAACTCTTCAATAAACCATACACTTTGTACTTTGTACTATGTTCCTGGTACACAAACATATGACGCACTCATTTCTGAACAGTTCAAGTGACTAGTTTTTTATTTAATAATCATTCACTCAAAAATTTTTATTTTTACACCCTGTACAAACATCGTAATGAAAACTATAAAATTAACTCTGTTCGGAAAATCGTCTCCATTCCGAACAATTTTAAAACAAAGATAATACGCATGAATTCCGGTGAAGCCTCTGTACGTACGTAGTTACTAAAAGAATTTACGGCTGAAATGAGTTTCACTTTTTTAATTATTCATTAATAAAGAATTTCCATGACCATAATAGTGTACCGAATTTCGCGGAATAAAGTACCCCTCGTGCCAAATAGTGTAAATCTCCTTTTTGAATACTAATATGACGTGTGGTAATTGTGATATTTAATTTTTTATGTGTAAAAAAATTGTTCACGTATGTATGTATGTACGTACATACATTCCGCAAAATACGGGTATAGTACGGTATGTGAAACGAAAATTGGGACGGACATGTGGAAATCATGATTGTATGTACGGTTTATAAAAGAAAAAAATCTTTCGAAACAAAGTTAATTTTCCTATAACCTCACATGAAAAAAAGAACAATGCTCGCACTTGCCATAACCCTAAACATAAAAAAGGGTTTACTTGTAAAGGATTAGGATTCCTCTTTCATTTGGCATAAAGATGTGACGAATAAGCAATAGCTAAATAATTATATTAAATAATGCATATTAGCCACACCCAATGATTCGTCACATCCTTTGCCAAATGGATAATTAACCTATGCATGACGATAGTCATGCTCAGGTTATTATCGCGAGGATCTTCACATGTAAATTCAAGGGCATAAATCTGATTACTAATTAAGGTTAGAAAGAAGATAGAGAAAGGATTA